AGATCTTTGTGATTAAAATCTATAAAATTGTTAACAGATTTATAAATAAAAATTTAGCATTTCGCTTAACATTATTGAATTTACAATGACATAGCTTTCCCAATTCTTAAAATTTTTCCATTAATGGACATGAATATATAATGTGAACTGAATTTCATAATTTCAAAGCAACTAATTCAAAAGATTACTTCTTAAAAGCAACTGTCTTATCTACTAACTCAGATATTGCCAACAACCCCTCCGCACTTTTATTCTTCCAAAACGTAATGTTTGACAAAACTACAAGTGAAATGCCAGCATGATGGCAAATATTAGTTCCAATAACCAAGGCAGCATTTATTGGCCAAATTCATAAAAAATTATCCAACCAAACTTTTCCAAGGTTCATACCAAAAATTTTAGTAAAAATATTCAATTCTTGAGGACAATATTTTGTTCACATATTTTAACATTTAGTATTGCCATTAGGCCTCAGCAGCAGGAAGAAATTAAAGAAAGACAAGGAGCAGAGGAGATGTAGGGGAACCACGGGTAAGTTTCATATTTTTTGCAATCCTACTCTTTGCGCAAAAGAAAGTAAATAATTTTGATTAAATATGTTGTATTCATCTGCAGAATGAAGCTTTGGCTACATTTCAAATACATTTATTATTGTTATTATTTTTTTTTTTTATTATTACATTTCATTATTATTATTATTACTATTTCATTTAATTATTATATTACTATTATTATTATTATTATTATTATTTTTCAAGATCTAATCCAGCAGTAAAACTCATTACATGCATTTATTGGTTTTTTATATTAATGTATTTTGATTTTAATTTTGAAGTCACATAGATGAGCACTCAAAATTTAAATCTCATGGAAAGTCCTTTGAATCTTATTTTGCCTCTTGGACAGATCAAATTAGAATATTTATCTATAATCTGATGCCCCAGACAAGAAAAATTCTTAGTACACACTTGGGAAAAGTTCAAAGAAGATTGTTAAAATAATTTAGAACTACCGTAATGGTCTCACAGCGGGAATCGATAACATTTACCTACCAATTCAATATATTTCTTAATTTACCAAAGTCTCGCTCTATAGAAGGCAATTTCAAGAACTGATATTTCTGATTTGAAATTATTAAAACAGAATTTTTGATGTCCTTCATATTTTTGAACAGGTGTCATTTTTGGTTCCTAACCATCTGGTTAACAAGGAGTAAAAACACTACTGAGCGTTTTATCATCTGTAAAACAAAATTGCGAGTAAAAAAACAAGATAACAGATTGTAAATATAATCATTAAGAATGAAATGGAGTCAGATCGCTGGCATAGGTAGTACAATATCGCTGGCGATATAGACACTACTCATTTAACAATTCATAAATTTATATATTTGATATTAACTATTAAGTAACTATATTGAAACATGTAACTTTTTTACTATACTATTTTTTTACTTTCACTATGTGCACACCATTTTTGCACTTGTTTTGTAAATGATAACATAAAGAACACATTCAGGTGGCTTGATGGCCAGCAATCTAAAAACCTTTTTCACAATAAGTGAATGAATGACCCTCAGATAAATAGTTTCTGAAAAATAAGTTGGGAAAATAGTGCTTGGTGAACACTTATGTCCAGTTTCCGCCTTAACATTCTTGATTATTCTCTACAGTATGCCTGCCTTGATTTTACTGTAGAGATGTTTGGAACTTGGACGTCTTCTGAACTTTTTACTACTACTCAACCTCAATCCCTCATAAATTAAAAAGCTTTTTGCATGATTATGTATCTCTCAATTAAATTCATCAAAAACAAACCAAGACGTGTTAAAGTATGAAAGATTTTATGCACTCACCATTTGGCTGTTCAGGCCTTAAAAGACACTGTTGTGCTGAACGTGGATAAGCATTGGCAAGAGTTGGGAGTGACATATTGAATTAGGTGTCTGCGGTAAAGTGTTGCAGGTATGATTCCTGTCACTACCCAAACAGTAGGATATCTAGTGCCTCAGGATCATTGCGCGCAGAAACAGACATAAGTGCCAGGCATCCACGAGCACTCACATCCCTCAAATGAAAGAAATAGCCTGTAACATTCAAAAACATTATTAAATTAATCCATTTGACAAAATTTCATTTTTAACCAAGTTGTCAGGCGGTAAGAGGACCTTCATTGCTGATGACAATTTCAACATTTTTTCACTAATAATAAATACAATGCAATGATTATGTTTTATTTAGTAATAATTTCCTTGAATAAAATTATGCATTTCTAGATGAGCATCTGAGCGATTGCTCTATTCAAATTGTAATAGACTGAATGTATGTGGATATGAATACAAGGGAGAAACAAAAGCCAGGACATGAGAACTTAAATAAACAATTGAAAACTGTTTAATGCGATAGGTGTTTTCACAAATACAAGATTTTCTACGAGTACAATTATTTAATTGTCACATAAAACTTAATTACGATTCAAACAATACAAAACTAAAATTTTCAATCATCTCTTCAAATTTTTATTAATCAAAGAACACAATCCAATTTCGTACCATGTTTTAAAGTTATATCAACCAAAAATATAGCTTTGGCGTGCAGATATTACTATTATCTCATTCTTATCATAGTTTAATCTACTGTAGTAATTTTGCTTCTATAGCAAAACAAACACTCAGAGTTAAGATGATATGCTGAGCAATAAAATTAAATTTTTAATACCTCACAAATTTTTCTTTTTCTTTTTTTTTTTTTTTTTAAAATTTTAATTGTTAGAATAAGTTCTTGAAGCATCAATAACTTTTTTTATATTTTCAACTCAAAAAAACTTTATTACCCACAATATTAATAAAGAACAACATTAAATAGGGGAAGAATAAATCCAAAAATCGATTAAAAATAAATAAAAATGTTTTAACAGGAAAAATGTTGTAACCCTATTTGAAAAGTGCCACTTTGCTTTTAAAATATTTCACAAATTAAATATTTAAAATTTAAAAAGCTTCATTAATATTCAATTAAAGCTGATTACTGTGTTCATCACACAACAAATAAAGCCACAATAAAAATGCGTTATTTTTGGGGCGGCGGGGGTGTAACAATACATTTGATGATTGGTGTGCAGAGAGAAAGGATCTAGGAGGGTTGTGTTACAAAAACGAAAAAAAAGCAAAGTTTGCAGAAGTTTTGAGGACAATTTTGAAAAATGCTGTTTTCATATATAAATTGAGTGCAGTTCCCAAATCCTAACTATATAGATCATCCAAATTTATAGTGGTCCCAAGTGGGATGTAGAATAGCTTTTTTGAATACCAATTATGGAAAAATATCTTTGCTAGTTTTGGAATTTTCAATAACAGATGTCAAGACACGTCAGAGAAAAGATTCACAGACAGATCATACAAAAAGAAAGTTTTGGATACAAAGAACCCAAGAAAAGATTTTCAATCACAATTCTTCAAATAACAAACTTTTTACAAATTGCAGATCTATTATAATATTTTTCGGCTTGACATACACACAAAATTAAATATAATAACAACCTACCCCTCTTGTATTTAACACCTGGTGCGCAAGTCACCATTTTGTTTTGACCAACCATAAGTGACAGGAGGTTCCAAGTCAATT